AGGGGAAAAATAAAGAGAGGGAGGGAGGCAAACCACAAGAGACTCTTAAGTACTGAGAACAAACTGAGGGTTGTGGGGGAGGGGTGGAGGAGGGGGAAAAAAGGGTGATGGGCATGGAGGACGGCACTTGTTGGGATGAGCGCTGGGTATTATATGAAACCAACATGACAATAAACTTTATTAAAAATGAATATAATTGTCTAAAATAATTAAATATGCATGTCAAAATGATTAAGAGTGATTGGAACCATAAAGAACAAAAGCCAATGAAATATAAAATAGCAGATTTGGAAAAGAACTAATTAAAACTTGTAAAATTAAAAATATAATCATTGGAATTTGAAGCCCAATGGATAAGTTAAACTGATCAGATACAGATAAACAAAGAATTCTATGAGTTAGAAATAGGTCTGATAGTTATCCAGAATGAGTGAGGAGACAAAGACTTGCAAAATGGAAGTAACAAATATGGAGATCAGAATAAGAAGATATGTCTAATGGGAATTCTACAAAGAGAGAAGAAGAAAAAATATGAAAAGATAATAGCCAAATATACTGTATGATTGATGAATGATATTAATCTTTTAAGAAACACAAATCCCCTGCAAGATACATAAAAAGAAATCTACATTTAGCTACATCATAGTAAAATGGCAAAATGCCTAACAAAGAGAAAAACTGTAAAGTAGTAATCATAGAAAAATTCATTCCTTTAGCTGTGATTTCTTCTTTACTAAAAAAATGAATTCCAATATACTCTAATGAAGTAGATACTATGGCTGGATGAGAAGGGCTTTTAGATGAAAAGTTAAAAACTTAAAAATCATATAGGAACTAGGGAAAAACCTCTCACATCTCAGGTCCAATATTCTTGTGCCTTTAGGAATTGTAATACAGCAGGAGTTGGGACATTTGATTACATAAGAATGAATCATTCTAATATAATTCAAATATTTCTAAAGATTATGCTCTGACCACATAAATTCTCAGGCTCAAATACATCATATACAGAATAAACTAAGGCATGGAAGGCAGGAAATTACAAGCCGTCATTTTTGTTCACTGCCACTAAGTGAATTATCAAGTAGTGAACCAAAGGGATAAATATTTGATTGGTAATTATCCCCATTAATTCCTCCAGCCTGAGGAAAACCTCTGTCTTCAGAATTATTTTCCATGAAGGGCTACTGCACTTTCCAAGAAAGGAGACTTTAGTCTGTTTCCTGGAGGGGTCTGATAAGAAGCCAATGTCTCTTTCAGGGTCTGACTGAAAGCATAATGTGCTGTTATCTTTTGGCAGAGTATCCTGAGCTCTAAAAGATTTAAAAAAATGCTTGGAAGTTGGTCTGAGAAGAGGAAATTAACCCCAGACTTTGGATGACTATCTCCAATGATGAGTAGACCTAGTCCCCCAGAGAAACTTAAGGTCTCCCAATTTTCTCACCCGAAGAGGTTTACACTCATTAGAGTTTTCCATTAAACTTCCCATAGAATAACAGAAAGAGACTTCATCTTTTTTGTTCCAATAATTCTTTTGACCTTTCCAGTTTAGACATCTATTCCCAGGGAAACTGACATCATTAGGAACTGCCTCTTTGAAATCTGAAGTCCAAACATTCATATTCTTCCAGATCCCTTGCTCGGGGGTAATCCTTTCTTATTGCTTGTACTTCTTCAGAATCCAAGAACCTTGACCTTTCTACTAGCTCTCTTCTCTCTTCATTTAGACTTCAACCAATTTTGACATTAACTACTGTCTTTTAAGTATTTTCAACCCAATGATCTGTACTCTCTGGAAAAGAGACTTCAGTGAGATATTGTGGGTAAAGCAGTGGTTGAGAGAAGTGCTCAACAATGGGTTGCTAACACCATTACCATCACCACCAGCAACGTACATTCTTATTCCTTTGTCACTGTATCATACCAGACTCCACGGCACATATCGGGCTGCTAAACATTATTGGGAAAAATCACTAAAGCGTTTGGACAGATGACAGTAAATTCATGCTTCCAGACTTAACTGACAAATAATTCTCTAATGAGTTTTCTAAACTTGGAGACTACTCTAAACCTTCTCCAGTCTCCTCACTTCCTCCCATGATTTTCATTCTCTCATTTCACAGGAAGAAAGAAAGAAAGAAAGAAAGAAAGAAAGAAAGAAAGAAAGAAAGAAAGAAAGAAAGAAACGAAACTATCAGAAAGAACTTCTCCAACCTCTAACCACCAAAAACTGCAAACCTTTCTGAATTTGCACCTATCCTCCCCTGCTTTCCTCCCCTGACAATGAAGCACAGTCTGGTTTATTGCTAAAGGCCAATGACTCCACATTCTCTCCCACTCTCTGTCATCTTCACCCACATAACTTCAACCTTTCTCCATTGGCTCCTTCTCATTTTATTTAAAACATACTCCACCTTCAAAAATTCCCTTTCATTCCAGCTACCTCCTTATCTCTCTCCTTTTCTTCCCACCCAAACTTTTAAAAAGGTTGTCTACTTTTGCTGCCTCTATTTATTTACTTCCTATTTTTCCATTGTCATTGTAATCTGGTTTCCATTTGTACACTCCACTGAAACTGTTATCTGCTTTATCAGTAGTAACTCCTTAAACTCTACTCAGGTCTCATTTCATTTGACAGCTCAAACCATTTTTGGTACATTGATTACTTCCTCCATCTGAAACACTCCATCTTTAGGAAGGCCCCTTTCCTTGAACTCCTCCTATTTCTCTGACAGCTTCTCATGAATATTCATTGCAGTCTCTCTCTTCTTTCTCTACCCATTCTTAAATATGGTATTCCTGAGAGGCTGGTCAAGGACCCTAGTCTTTTCATGCTGTTAACCTAATTACACAATGGCCATTAGATTCAGGTGGTTCTAATGTCTCTGCCCCAAATCTGTATAAATGCCTCAAGGTTATGAAATCTAAACGCTAAGGACAACCAGACACAAACAGCCAAATGGGTTTAAGGTATAGCCAATCAGTTTCCTTTCTTTGTCTCTACACCTTCTCTACATAAGCCTTTCCCTTGGCCCCTCTCTGGGCTTCTAACTTTTGGTTGGACCCCGCCCAATTCCAATAGATTTCTGCTCAATAAACTCTTAAAATTCTTTTTTTTTTTTAATTTTTAATGTTTTATTTATTTCTAAGAGAGAGAGAGAGAGAGAGAGAGAGAGAGACAGCGTGAGCAGGGGAGGGTCAGAGAGAGGGAGACACAGAATCTGAAGCAGGCTCCAGGCTCCGAGCTGGCAGTCAGCACAGAGCCCGACGCGAGTCTCGAACCCACGAAGCGCGAGATCATGACCTAAGCGAAAGTCGGACGCTTAACCGACTAAGCCACCCAGGCGCCCCTAAACTCTTAAAATTCTTAATATGCCTGCTGTTAATAAATCCCTATCTCATTCCCTTCAATCCTATCTAAATACTAATCAATATTTCAGTTTAGATCATCCCCCTGATCCATACATCAAAGTACTTTTCTATCCCTTAGTCATTCTGTCTCCAGATCTGTTTCTGTTGTGTTCTCTATCTCAGGGAAGGATTTTACTATCCGTCTTCCCAAACCAGAAATCTGAAATCCTCCTGTCTCTTCCCATTGTTTGACTCTTCACATTCAGTCAGCTACCAAGCCTAGGCCATTCTACTTGCCGCAGCAGCTCTCAAATCATTTCAAATGACATCCAGGCCATCATTATGTCACAACTTCTTAAGGGATCCTCCAGTGTCCAGTCGTGTCTGTCTTAACCCATTCTCCACACAAAGCCAGAATGATTCTTGGAAAATCTAAGTTATATCATGCCACTCCTATGCTTAAAATGTTTCAGAGTTCTTGTTGCTTTTAGGTTTCAAGCTCTAAAAACTCCCTAGCGTTTTTCTAGGTTTCAATCTCGCGCTCCCCTCTTGCAAGCAATCTGCAGTCACTGTGAACTTCGTTGAATTCTTAGAGTGCATACTTGAGGCCTCTAAGCTGTTGCCGTTTCCCCAGCTAAAATATACCTTCTCCGCCTTTTCCTAACCAACTCTGTCCGCACTCTTTTAAACCTCAACTTTACCACTCCTAGGAAACTACTTGACACCCCTTCAGCTTGAACTCCTCTTGAAGAATTCCCAAGGCATCCTGTACTTATCCAGCAATTAAGAGTATTGTCTTGTAATTGCTTATTCCCTAGACTAAAGCTCAAGATTGTAAAACCCTGGAGGGCAGAAACCACGTGCTCTTCCTATTTCAAGGGCCTAAAAGGAGCGTCTGACACACAAAATAGTAGCTCAGTTAATATTTGTTGAATAACTATTCACCTTTTGGGAATGAGGGCGGCCGGAATAATACCCGAAAAAGGGGGCTTAAAGGAGACAGAGTAAAAAAAAAATCTCTTTAACAAGTGAGATGGATAGAGTACCTAGGTTCTTCCTCGCACTCGGCGTGGGGGACTAGGCCCACTGCCTCGGCGGAGGGCACCGCGACTACGCGCTCGCGAGGGCGGCCGCAGAGAGCGCGCGACCCCAGGCGAGGGAGGACAATAGCTTGGAATTCGATCTCGTGTTTCCGGTGGGGCAGGCTCGCGCTCGGCCGGTGAAGCCCGGGGGTGGGGGCTCCGAGCCCGGCCCACGGCGAGAAAGGCGCGGCCGACCGGGCTCCCGCCGCCGCCACCACCACCGCCGCCGTCGCCACCGCCACCACCTCTTCCGACGCCGTCGCTCCGCCCCGCCCCGCCCCGGAAGTGACTTGAGGCCCGTCCGGAACCTGCGGGCCCGGCTGCTGCAGCGTCACCAGCCGAGCCGGTGCGGGGCGGGCGGAGCGGCCGCTGCCGCCGCCAACGAACCGGGATCGCGCGGGGACCAGCAGCGCGCCGGCCAGGGGAGGGGGCCCAGCGGTCGGGCCGAGGGCGACGGGCCGCCGACGGCCGCGGGGCGACGACGACGCGGAGGAGGCGGAGCCCGGAGAGGGGTGGGGGCCGGGGAGGGTTAGGGTGGGAGGGGGTGGGGGGGGTGTTCCTAGGCTCATGGAGCCGGCAGAGCGGGCGGGCGGCGGGGATCCCCCGGAGCCCGGCGGGCGGCCCGGCCAGGCCCCGCGGGGCTTCGTCCCGCAGAAGGAGATCGTCTACAACAAGCTGCTGCCCTATGCCGAGCGGCTGGACGCCGAGTCCGACTTGCAGCTGGCCCAGATCAAAAGCAACCTGGGCCGGGCCGTGCAGCTCCAAGAGCTGTGGCCCGGGGGCCTCTTCTGGACCAGGAAACTCTCCACGTAAGTGTGTTCGGGCCTGCAGGGTCGGCGGGCGGGCTGTGAGGGGCGAGGGTAGGCGGCTCTTTGTCCGCACGGGACCGCTGGACCAAACTCTGCCGGGACTCGAGTCTCTGGTGGTCTCCTAGCAGGAGTCTGAGAATCGCGGCGAGAAGCCTGGGAAACACTCAAGTCCGCTCCCTGCCACTTTCCTGCGGGACCTACTCGTTCCTCACCAGCCCTGTACGACCTTCCCAGCTGCTTCTCCCCGAGGGTTCGAGGTGGCGTCTTCCGACCTGCGGCGTCGTGGGGAGCCGGAGGGCCCCGGACCCCCAGGGAGACAGGAGCGGTCCCTCACGGGCCCTCCTCGAACCTGGCCCAGTGGGGGAGGTGGGCGGAGAGGATTCGTCTATGGGAGAGTAACTCGACTCTTCCTGGTGCTTCCTCCGGTTCTTCCTCTACGGTCTCCGCCTCTGATATCCCTCAATTCATGTCTCAGTAACTTTCTGAATGGGAAGGAGACCAGAGGGAACTGGTAGGTTCTGCTTTTTTGGGGCCTGCTCAGTCTTTGTGGGTTTGATTGAATAGATGGGTTTAAAATCCGCTCATAGTGCATTCTTGAGCTGTGTACTAGACAGTTCATGTTGAGAATGTGGAGTCTTAGAACATCGGGAGAGTGTATGTTTCTCCACTTGTGACATTTCCTTTGGAAATGTGCGACCCTCGGGAAAACAGAGAAGAGAGCTGTCAGATTGTCCAGGGCGTTATTACTACAGGGCTTGCGTTAATTTTTGAGTCTCCCAGATGGATATAGATGACCTAAAAATCGGTTTCAGGAGTTATGTTACCCTTTGATTACTTTCTTCATTTTTGTTGTACAAACTCTCCGCAAACTATAGTGCCACTGAAATTAGGGGGGGAAAGCGAGTAAAAATGTAGTCGGGGAAGGGGGGAGGGATGTTAGATACTTTATTTGCTAAATGGATATCTTCAGCTGCGTGAGAAGAATATTTTTAAGAAAGTTGTGCTGTATCCTGTTTGGTTAACTGTACACAAAATCTGGTAACATTGTATGTTCATGAATGTGGGTATGGATGGATAAACACACAAGACTTAAGTCACTTATCCACTGTTTACCCAAATCTGCTGAGTGAACTGGGTGATGACTCAGGATTTTGTAATGCAATAGTCTTCTCTACATTTCCTCACAGGATGATTCTTATCTGCCAATTATTAGGGAGCCTCTGACAAATTTCTCATCTCCACTTGGCTCGGTGGTGGTGGTGGTGGTGGTGGAAATAATTACCTTTTTAATTAAAAAACTAAAATACTTAATTTGCCCTTTTCAAAGAGTGACCATAAAATGTCAAAGTTAACAGCTCTCTTCTTGATGAAAGTGTAAAGATATTCGTGTATTTAGGATTCGTAGGAGACTCTGAGAAAACAGAAATGCAACAGGGAGAACCACTTTTAGTCAAAACAGAACAATGTTCTGTTTTATGACTGATTAAAATCAAATGATTTTTCAAGTGAGCTTCCTATTGTTTGTGTTACTCAGACGCTGTAAAAATAAAGTTGCTTTGTCGGTTCCAGTGATTTCCCGTTTTAATTACTCTTATTAGATTTGCCAGAGAATAACCATTTTGGGGGCCACAGCTTCTTTTAGATGCACAATATATACCAATGTGTGAATGCATATCTGGTTTGGATTTCTGAATCTAGAATCTGCACAGGCAGAGTGGAGCCTTGTTTTCTGACATACTTCTTACTAAGTTTGGCAAATTAGCACCTAGAGTTTGATTATTTTTGGCTTATTTTGTGTAAGTAGCTTTTATCTAAGAAATGGCTAAAAATACAGTTGAGACAGTCCTTGCTTGGTGTTGAGGGCAAGATTGCAGTTAATAAGGCCTAGTAGCCCGTGAACCCCAAACCTATGTCTAAATAACTAGCAAAGAAATGCTGTCAGGATTTTATTTTGGAACAGGAGTTAAATGCTGCAAACTGATTCTAAGAATTGCACTGTGAGACATTCTGAACTTGGTGGGACGTGTTGTGATCTTGGGTGTATTTTCTCCTAAGTCATGTTAAGGTGACCTGTTTATAGTTGTGCTTGTTGTTTTTTAATAAGCCTTGTGTTGCACAAGTTTACATCTAAGTGATGCCAAAACATGTGATGATAGCTGGCAATTACCTGAGCAGTGATCCTATTTAGTACTTTGTAGAAGAATGGAAAGTAGTAATGAAAACAAAATCTAACTTCTCCCATTAGCTCTGTGACTGTGGGAAAGTGACTTTAATTCCTGTGTATCAGTATTCTTGTAAAAAATGAGGGAGTTGGACTAAGTAATTCCTGAGAAACAGCCCTGGTCTGGTATTTTATGATTTTATTTTTTTTATCTTTGTAGAGCCTCAAATAAGCCAGTGTGTATCTTTTTTTCAAGGACTGTTGGGGCAGCTTGTAAAGCACTGGGAGTAGTTGCATAGATCAGGCACATAAAGAAGACCTGAGTGTAAATGCTGTTCAGAGGCACTGGGACTGGATCCCCAACCAGAAGGGTACACCCCTAATGAGGGCATCACAGGTCTGTGTGGGGTAGAGCGCTGGTTTGGGGATATTCAGGTCCCCCCCCGCCCCCCGTTTTTTTTTCCCTTCGCTTTTTACCTCACCTTAGTACTTACCATAGTTCTGTTTCAGTCCATTTCGAGACTTGTGGGTCTGTGTAGTATTTCTGTGAGAAAGGTTATTTCTTTGTATTTTAAAAATTGGCCTTGTGGTAAAATACAAGCTCTCTTAAACAGACAAGTCAAAGTATTAGAACTGCCTATTAAGGAGACATTGTGTGACGTGGTATCAGGAGGACCAGATGGTTTTTAAGAAGCAAGGAAACACATTGGAGAAGAGAGGCACAAACCTAATGGTCTTTGGTAAACAGCAGTAGACTGCTCCTGGACACTAAGTGAAAGGTATTGGTGGATAACTGGTATGGTCCATGGTGGAGTTGAATAAAGGTAATCTTGAAACTAGCTTTTTTTTCTCCCTTTGTCCTCTGGACCTTTCACTTGAGGTGGTCAGGTCTAGTCCGAAGGTGTCGGTTTCTCTGTACCTGGCTTTGTTGTGAACATCAGCATCGTGGTCTTGCTTAACCTCCATTTAAGCTTTAGATTCCTCTTGTGGAAAGTGGGAAGAGTGTAGACTCTTAGTGGTTTTTCAAACTTAAAACTCAGCCTTGGACTGTTGTATAAAAGCAAAATCCTCAACGCAGTATTGGGCTCTTTGGGAAAAATACAATTGCACTGATTTTTCTTTTTTCGTTTTAACACTTCACTGACTATAGAAGCCCCTGAAGCCTGCTCAGAGCTCCAGAAATCACTGAGTTAGTCCCAACAGGCCTTTCTAACTCCGCGTTCCTTTAAGTTGGTCTAGAGGAAAGAAAACAAGTGAATGGGCTACTCTTTCCTAGAAGTTTACCCCAAGCTTACCCATAATTACATTATGGATGTAATTTTTTCTTTCGTGTTTCCTTTTTTCAAACGGAATTTTGATTTTAGTGAAGGATGTGGGTTTACTGTATTATGAAGGATATTTAAATGTCTTATTTGTTAGAGTGAAATGTTAAGTTCTATGCTGTTTTATTATTATGACAAGACTTTTATATTAAGAAATCATTTCATTTGCTAAGTAAACTGTAACTTCCTTGTTTAATTATGTAGCCTTCACAAATAGGAATTGGATTATCCCAGTTGAAACCACATAATGTATTTAGATTATATAACCACCGGAAACTTAAGTTTAGTCAAGATAAGAATTATCAAATACACTGAACTCCTTTGTGGAAAGTAATAATCTGACCACAGGAGCACCCAAATTTGTATCATCTCCTTGTTGGGGGAGAAAGTAGAGAATGCTAACCACTGAATCTCAGTTATCTATTAACACAGTGTACTTATTTAGGATATCTAATGTTTGCGTGTTGAAATTGTGACGTACACAATAAATAGAATTACCTTTTTTAGCAAAAAATCTTAAAATCTTGACAAATTACCACATTCATCAGTGAAAACCAGTTGGGAAAGTAGTAGAAAAGGTTTGCTATTGTTATTATGTGACCACGCTCCAAATAAGAACCAAAGTTTCTTTGTAAAGTTGATTTGAAAGTTGAGTTTCCATAGAAGAAACAAAGTAAATGAATTAAATGATTTTGGGGACATGAGTTTTTCCGAAAAAGTTGTATAACAGCGCAGTAAACTATCCTTTGTGATTTTTTTTTAATTAACAAACTTTACTTTTTTTTCACTGAATCTATTTATTTATTATTTTTTTGACAAATAGTTTATTGTCAAGTTGGTTTCCATATAGCACCCAGTGCTCATCCCGACAAGTGCCCTCCTCCATGCACATCTCCACCCCCCGCCCCAACACCCATCAGTCCTCAGTTTGTTCTCAGTATTCAAGAGTCTCTTATGGTTTGCCTCTCTCCCTCTCCCCCACTATCGGGGCGCCTAGGTGGCTCAGTCGGTTAAGCAAACTTAATTTTTAGAGCAGTTTTAGGTTCAAAGCAAAACTGAGCAGAAAGTTGAAAGAGTTCCCATATACCCACTGTACCTACTGATGTGCACATTTAATTTTTCATAGCAGTCTCAAACTTAGTTATTTTAAATATATGTATGTGTATATGCGTGTATGTGTGTGTATATATGTATGTGTGTGTATAAATTATATATTTATATATATGAAGCCCTTCCCATTTTTCAAATGCCTCTTTAGTTGCTTTCTTTCTTTTTTTTTAAAGTAGTCTCCTTGCCCAGTGTTGGGCTTGAACTCATGACCCTGAGTTTAAGAGGCACATCCTCTACTAACTGAGACAATCAAGTGCCCCTCAAGGACCTCTCGTAATGATTCTTTTAAAACACCCTGTCAGTTTTTTCTCCTCCAGTTAACTGGATATTTTGTCAGAATCTCATCTGTCAACGTATGTGATTTGAATACCTTTCAAATACTTTTTTGTTTTGTTTTAAACTTTTTT